CAAAAAAAAATATTGTGTTATATTCAAGGCCCACTTCAATTCTACTGCAACCTACACATGGACAAGTAAAGAATTTGGAAGTGAAATACAAACCGTTGCAACAACTTTTGAATTTATGCTTTTATTCATGTGTCAGGCCTTTCTGAGCCAGTATGTCATCTTGGATACTTAATAACCTAAGCTGGTGTTTTAAAGAGCTGAGAACTGGCCACATTTCAAGAGTTTTCCCTCCTAACTAGGGATAAACTCTGTCTAAAAAAAGATATCCTGATTCTAGATCAACTTCTTTTGCAATGAAATATTTTACATTTTTCTTTCAGTTCAGAGGACTATTATTGACACAAATATTTTTGAAAGGCAATCTGATGGCCCCCACATATCCTGTACTTTGCCAATCTGTCTGTTCTTACATTTCGGAAAGCTGAAAAATCTAATCACCTAACACTGAAGACTGATAGACAAAAGTCTCCCCATAGGAAGGGCTGGAAAGGACTTTGCATCTTGAAATTAATTTCCATAAAAGGGAACACACATCTGATTCAGGCAAGCTGTCTGTTACAAGACTAATGATTGCATAAAATAATCTAAGCAAATAAATACCATCAAATAAATACACCTGCTTCATATTCTTTAAAGCTTACATTAGAAGATATTTTATATAGTGAGAAATATAAACAAAACAGATTAAAAATCTTAACTTGTCTATTTACAGAACTATGACAATTTCAGAACAAAAGCTTGATTAAACAAGCAGAGAAGAAATCTTTATGCTGCATGTGGTAAATATCTTAAAATGTGACATGATCCCAGAAGCATCATTTCCAAGATATACATTTACTTTTCTTTACCATAGTTAATTACTGGGGATAAAAGTTTAAAAAAATACTGACATGAAAGACAGAAATTAAACAAAACTAGGTAAACATGAGAAGGGGAAACCTGGCCTACACAGAACACTAAGTTAATTTTGAATTTGTTTTCCCATGTTTTTGAATACAAATTTTGTGACAGTGTTGTAGATGGCTTACCTGTTGAAAGGAAGATAAGGATGTAAGGCACTTAACATTGATGAAGGTTTTTGAGGGTTTGTGCTACGAAGCGTCTTATTGTCTTTATTAATGGATTTCCCAGCACATTTGGCAAGCTAATACTCCAAAGACAACTGCAATAATTCTAAGGGCTTTGGTGTATTCAGACCCTTGAAATTAGATAATTCAGTATTTGACTTGTTGTGTAAGCTCCATTTGCAACGCTGTTGCCCTATTAAAAAGGACCAGTCACAACAAGGGTAGGAATTGAGAGGGTTTGGTCTTAAACTTGACTGCCTGGTCTGCCTAGTGATAACATACTACTGAAAGATCATTGTGGAGAAGTACTGTCCCTTTTGCAACAAACAATTCCCCAAAATACAGGAGTGTGATTATGTAGAAAGCATAACACATTTTCAAGCATAGAAAGTAATGACAAGAACAAATCTGCTGCAGTAGGTCTGCAAAGAGTAATAATTAGCTCTAACTGTAAGAAAAATGTGAGCTTTTGGTTACTAACTTGGCAAGCTTGTAGACAGAAGTGAAAAAATGGCAACTGTCTTTTTCTTTGTACATCAAAAGAAAAACACTTTCACAAATCTACCAGTAGGAAGACTTATCCATGACAGGAATATAGAAAAGACAAGTAGTCAACTCTTCTCCATTGTTGCTCAACCCAGAGTTTCAATACCTAATTTAGAGGATTTAGGGCTTGAGGGATTTGGGGGATTATTTTCTGGGGCTAATGATGAATGGTTCATATTTTTACATAGCTATTCCTAACAACCAGTGCTGGGGATTACATTCACTCACGCTACGACGCTGCTTGGAGTGGCATTACAAAAGTACAGTTGGCTGGCATCAGAGAGGATTAGTCACAATTCCAACATTCATGACTGCAACAGAACCTCATTTGGGCCACAAGCGAGCACTTGATTGGAATGATCTGCATCAGTTCGTTTTATTAAAACCCAAGGAATGCAAAATAGGACTGTATTAATCACAAGAACAATTTTCCTTCCTATGCCTTTTAAACAATTCAGTAGACATGCTTAGGTGAATTTCCACACTCAATGTAAATATGGAATTAATTAGCACTTACAAATTCTACTGAAAATGGAAATAACTTCTGCATATAAATAGCATGTATTAATGTAACATACTCTTAAATCCTAAGGAAGACATATTTCAGCACAAAATTAAGCATGGCTAATCATAAGTGAATTAAGAGTCAATGAATTCCACAATTCTGTATCTCACTAAAAGGACTAATTAGATTTACTTCACATTCCTAAACAAATGCTCTATATAGTATATTTGTATGAAATATATTCATGCCATGGTTCCCCGGTATTAAAGAATGTCTTTATGTAACTTCAATATAAAGTCTATGAGAAATAATATGCTAACTATAAATGTTGCTTAGAAACACAGTACTCAATTAACCCCCTCATCTTTTGTGCCAAATCAGAGAAACTGATAAACCTAAGTCTTCTTTTCCAGATGGCACATCAGATCTTCCCAGCTGCTGTTGACTGGCAAAATAGTTTTCAAAAATCAACATGGCACATGAGTATATTCCTTTACCCAACTATACACAAGGAAATTATTAATTAAAAGGGACAATATCATCCATGCAAAAGTCTCCTTTAGCTCACACAAAGGTATTAAAATGGTGAAAAATGATATCTAGAAAACATACAGAACTTTCAGTACTATAAAATTGTTGCATTTCATAATTTGTTAATATTTTCAGAAATAAAAAGAAAGAAATGTAAGTACAGCAATTACCAATAGCTTACTGTTTTTTTTTTAAATGTAAGTTCACACACAAACAGCTGGATATTTTATACACATCTAGTACAAAACAGAAATTAAAAATGCTGATATGCAACATATTTGGTGGCCTATCCACAGTGGGACAGTAAAATTCCCATTTGAGAACTTCCACTGGAAAGTGGTCCCCAAAGAAGTAAGGGAATAGACACACAGTAATTCTCCTCCAGAAGTGAAATGAAGGAGGTATGGAAAAATGGGACATCTCCAGAGGCCATGCTTAACTTTCCACAGGAATGGAAACTTTTGAAACTTTTTTCCAGATAGGTTCCCTTTAGATTAAATTAATATAAGGTGTACTGATTGACAGACATATTTCTACAGATAGTCCAATTTCAGAATTACCTAGAACTCTACTAATAGTTATTAGCAAAATTATTAAAAGGCCTTCTTATTATGAGTTGTTGCAAACATTTATGACGACTAGAATGACTTTACACTTTTCTGTAGCCTATGACATGGGCTGCCTTCAAGCAGAGAGTCCTAAAAGCATCATCAGGTCCCCTACACAGTGGTACTCTCACAGACTTGGAACTTGTCAGGCCTATCTTACATGTGAGGAATGAAGTATACAAGCCCCACAGAAACTAATTTAAAAAAAAAGTTTTGCATAACATTAAGATCCCAAAGTTTGCAACAGACTTGGAAGTCTGGCAGAGATGGCTCTCCTTAAGCTGCAGATCTTGACACCACCAGTAAGAAACATACATTGCAGGTAAGTTTGGGGTATTTGCTGAAAACAAACAAACCAACCTGCCTACCCTCCCTAACAAAGCATTGCAGGCTTATTGACCAACGTGTCCTAGACTGAAGCTTTCAGCATATTACCTGAATCACAAGACCCAACCTCGATTGTATCCTTTTTACCTTGCCAGTTCCATTCCAACACTAACTAATGTTGGGGAATTTTTATCATACCCCTTGAGGCAAATGAAACATGTCTGTGCTTAAACATAAAAAGATGTAATGAACAATGGATTTGACAGTCCTAACTCCATAAGCAGCTCTAACAGGGAGTCTGTAAAGATGCAACATGAAACAATTCCTTATATACACTTGCATCAGCACGGGACACCTGAGCCCAGAGTTCAATTCATCCCTCGCCATCAGCCCTGTTTAGCAAAAGTGGCCCCTGAGCACTCTCACTGTAGGAGATTGCTACAAGACAATGCTGTGGCATTTCTCATCTCACTACCAAGGGAAACCTCACCCCCTTACACGGAGTCCTTCTGTCTGTGGCACTGCTGCTTCCAGCAAGTTTAAACTATTCCGCAGTTGGACCTTCTTGCCCTCCATGACAGATCACAAATTGGTCATGAATTACCATTTCTGAGCAGTTACACTTTTAATTTCCCCTTCACTAATGACATTGTCAGATTTGTGTTCTCAGCTCAGAGTTGCCTACCAGGTCTTACATCTCCTTTCTCATTCTCAAAAGTTGCCTTCTTTTCCATTTCCCATTACCTTTTTTTTCCCCATCAGATCTTCTTTTCCTCTTTAAGTCTATTTAGAATTCTTAGTTTTACCTACTCCTTCTCCTAATTTCATTCAGCTTTGTCCTTCTGTGCATTTCTTACCAGAAAGTTTCCATAACAGTACAAAAGACACAGATTTATCCTCTGTGGTAATATCTGGTCCTTTCCTTTTACAAGATGAAAGGAACTAGGAGTAACATGAGAGAAGAATTACATTCAGCCTTATTTCATCCTTAACTCCTTCTCTTATTGCTGTGTAGATAAAAACCTGCTGAATTGCTCTGTGAGGTGGTCTCACTGCAAGTACAGTTCGTTGAGACTGAGGAGGTCCAAAATGTGGATTTGTGATAAATAATCAAACCCAAAGTTTATCACAACTGACCAATCTTTTTTTTCTTTTTGTCCCAGTCTTAAATTTCATTACTGAAAATGGCTAACCTACTTTATCTGGTTTCCCAAAGTGCAGAGTGAGAAAACATGTCATGCAAAATTTCTTGCCGAACAGTCTAAATTGAAAGCAACAGAAAACACAGTCATAAAGTGAAAGAGGTTGCACAACCTGAAAAAGCAGTACTAAAGAAGACTGCCTGCAGTGCATACTTCTTATATGCTATTACAATAACATTATCTGGAAACTGTGTTATCTTGGCAACTCGTTTACCTTGAATTCTTCAACAATAATAGTCAAGGCTTCATGCCCAGCTTTTCGCATGTCTTCTAACTCCTGCTTATGCTTTTCCTGTATAAAAACATGGAAAGGTTATATACAACATAGGTACCTGACATAACAATTTTTATTAGGAGAGCAAATATTCCTCGATTTTGGTATCTTTCATGAAGAAATGCACACATCTTGGCTCTTCAGATATTATATATATATGCTCGATTCAAGTTAGTCCTAGTATTAAATTTATTTTTATAACTTAATTTTACTTTATTAGTCCTCAGATAACTCTAAATGGTTCTCCAAATTTAAAAAGAAATTTTCTTTGTTACTCTGATTTTTTTCTGGTGTCCTGGTATATACCTGGTGGATGGCAGGACTTCCAAATGACTCTCTTAGAAAATGTTGTTTACTGCCTGTATTAATAAAAACATTGAAATGGACTAGTATCAGATTCATCATCCTCAGAAGAGCACACCCTTCTCCTACTAATTACATAGCTGCTTTTTTATCTTTTTCTATTCTTAAGGCTCCCAAGAAAGTGTTCTCACATCCTGAATATGTTTTTCATATAAAGCTCTATTGTTTACTTTTTATTTATTTCATAGTATTATGTAAGAAAAACATGGACAGGCACATTCTAATATTTTTGCCTTTGCATGGAAATGCTTGCCTGTGGTTTGCTGTCTAAGTCTGCAATGTGAACACTTCATTAGATTATAATTAGCATTTCACACTTATCAGTGAGCAGCACCACTTTTTCAAATCACGAATTAGTGAGAAGACGAAAAACCTTCTCTTCTCCCTCCTTCTTTGCCTCAGTGATCTGCTCATAAATCAGCTAGTACAGCAGGTCATAGGTGCCTTAAAATCACCTTGGAAAACTGGTGCAGAAAGCAGAAAGACATTCATCACAAACATTACCTTGCAGTTATTACAGGGAAAAACCATACACAACTTACACTATATATTTATTGCTTTTTTGGATGGAATTCAAGTTCAAATTAATTAATACAATTCTACGTTTTCTAAGACCTGTATGTTTGAAATAAGCAAGACCTAGTGTCTAACAAGGCATGTTCAATTTTATTACGAAGGGCCATATAACACCATTAAAAATCAATTAATCTGTCTGTAACTGTCTTTGATTAGAGGTTTCTACTCTGTCATTCAGTTCCTTTCTCCTGAAAGGGCCATCTTAGCAAAAAGTTTTAAACTATTGCCACACAAACTTATAATTGGTCCAAATATAATGAGACATTCAAATTCTCTTGAATACAGCTGTTGTTTTTGTGAAGTCCTACAAGAACAACTGACATGAAGCAGAAGAATTGAAGATGGAAATATTTTGGTATGTGAATAAACTATTACACCAGAAAACAATGCACAACATCTGGGTACATAAGTTTAATCACACTGTGATGCACAGGTATCACTGACACCACAGACTAGTTAAACTCAGATGTTTTATATGTAGAAAAAAAAATTTAAAAGTGCTGAGATAGAAATATTTTTACAGTACTAAACGACAGAACCAGTATAAGGAGGAAAAATGTGATCCAGTGCTTAACTCCAAAACTTCACAAATCATTAACAAATATGTTCCCTGTGAAAAGTGAACATGGGGGGGGAAAATGAGAAAAATGTAATTACTATAATAGCATATCCTGGATTCACAAACAAGAAAAGATAATTATATAGAAAGAGGAAGTTAATGCTCATTAATTATTCTAGCTGAAAAAAAGCCAAATCAACAAAACCAAAAATGAAGAGAAAGCATTCCCTATTGAGAAACACATTTAAATGAGAAGAAAGCCTTTAAAAGCAGTAAGATTTCCATCTAAGATCTGTCAGAATTAACTTGAACACAACAATGAGATAGTGGATCAAGTGTGTTGATCAAGGAAGTAACATATTTCATTCTGGAAAAAGTACAGCAAATCTCACTAACGTTACCAGGAAAATCAAGACACAAAACAAAAAATGCAGTCCTCTCATAATAAATTCTCAGGTTTTTCAGAAATAGTGACTTGTTCAAAGTCATGTCCTAAATGCAAACTGGTAACACAAGTTAAAGCATCAACACCAAGGTATAACTACCAGCATGGTGAATCCATCCAACACATTTTACAGTACTTTCTTAAAATATTTCCTGGAGTAAAGGAAAATAATCATTAGTAAAGAACTAATAGGAAGGCATCAGTTTTGCTTGGGTCAGGTCTAGTAAACAACTTCCACAACAGAGCTAGAAGAGAGAATGAAAGGCCATTATTACAAGCACACAGATGAAAAGTTTAAGGTCACTTGGTAACGCTCCTTCCAAGTAAGGGCTTCAGTCAACCTGATGAACACTACATTGCCTTTTTTTTCGTGTCTATTTGCAAGATTTTTCAGCTAAGATGGCAGGCCTATAAGCTTATTTTCTTTTAACTTATAAGGGTGCATTTCCACTCTTTTGAGGATGGCTGGCCTTTTCTTCTGAATGTCTGTGAAACACTGTTTCAAAATCTTTTAGATACATCACTCAACGGAACGTGTGCTTGGTTCTTGTAATATCTGATAAGGAGAAGACGCAAAGTCACTTTAAGTAACACTTTTGGTAGTGTATGCATTTATTTACTGTTTAACAATGAAGATACATAAAAGTCCCCAAGTTTCATGATTTGGCTATGAACACAACAGAAACATTCCAAGAACAGCAGCATATTCATTTGATGAACAATGGTCATTTCAGTTCTTCACAAATCCTCAACAAAAAGTGTACTTTCCATAGCAAAATTAGTTTACTGAATTGACAGAATGTCGTGGTTTGAGCCTGGTCGGCAGCCAACCACCCTGCAGCCGCTCACCCACCTTCCCCCCCAACCTGGGAATGGGGGAGGGAATCAGAGGGGTAAAGGGGGACTCGCAGGTTGAGACAGAAACAGTTTAATAGTGGTAATAAATTGAAAACAATGACAGCAATAGAAAATATAAACGGGCAATGTACAATGCAATTGCTCACCACCCGCTGACCAATACCCAGCCCATTCCCGGCCAGCGACCCCGAGATACCAAGATCCCACAGTCGCAATCCCGGAAGCGAGAGAGAGAGCGAGCCCCTTCCCGACCACCCCTCCTCTATATAGTGAGCATGACGTTCCATGATATGGAATATTTCACTGGCCAGTTAGGGTCAGGTGCTGTGGCCGTGCTCCCTCCCTGCTCCCTGTGCCCTTGCGCACGGGCAGAACATGGAGAGTCAGAGAGTCCTTGAAGTCCCGGTAGCAGCTGAAACCATCAGTGTGCTGTCAGCACTCTTTTCATACCAAACCCAAAGCTAAATCCAAAACACAGCACTCTTCTAGTTCCCGAAAAGGAGCATTAACTCTATTCCAGCCCAAACCAGGACACAGAACTACTCTTAGAATTATTACTCTGCTTGTAAGAAAGAAAAGAGATGCTCTATGAAAAGTTCTGAGTGGTGTAGACCTAAAAATAAAATTTAATATTCAGATTCCCTATCAAAGAGAAAAGAATTTTCTGGGTTTTGGCTCTTGTAGAATTCTCCTGTATGGATCGCATGACTTCACAGAGGTTTTTAAACAACATTGTTGTTCCCTTCCTTTTTCAATAAATGCTTGTAAGAAAGGAATCAAACATGAGTTTAGAAGTTTGAAATTTAAGTAAAATCATCTTCAGAGGACTTTCAACCCTTCTCCTTGTGTCTTGCGATGGACAGAATCTCACACTGGAACACTGACAGTAATTAAACATCTATTTGAAAGACCGAGGGGTTTATTTTATTTTGTGATCAAAATCTTGATGAACATTCCAGAGAGCATGAGGCATTCTGTATGGGCACTATGAAAAAAACAGGCAATTCATTGCTCAGTGATTATCAGTGTTTCAGTTTTTTCCATTTTGTGACTCATATGAGGAAACACGTCATTGAGAACAATTTATGCGTAAGAATACATGCTTTAGTGCTACACAATGTCTGTGCCTTCAGAAACAAACCAAATAAAACTTGAATGATAAGGAGGAAAAAAAAAGGGTCAAACTTCAAAAGTTTTCTTACAATCTAAAATCCAAGTGACTCCAGGCTCTCCTTTTCTTTTGTTAGGCCCCTGTGAATCAAACCAGTGTAAAGGCTGATGGATCCAAATGCCTGGTGAGCTTCCGAGAGGTGTGGATCCCAAGGATGCCGCTGGACAGAGAAGCCTTCTGAAGTGGCTGTGGCAGCAGGAAAGGTTACTGACTAGTCCAGCTGCTTGTCACTGCCTGCCAACTGCATTAGCACTTCTTTTGGATCTTTTAGCTGAACTGCTTCCTCAATCGTTTCAGTCTAAGTGAATCATTGTTAGCGCAAACAGTTTAAACAGGGTTCTTTGTTAACATCCAACATTTCGACAGAAATGCAGGGCATGTGTGTGCACACACTGCGGAGCACGAGGGTAACACCTCCCAACGGAGTGCTATGCAAAATCTGCAGTAAGAGGATTTGTGAGATCTGATGGGGAAAGAAGTGTGGGTAAAGACCTCAAACTTATTTTATTTCATTATATTTACTTACCTTTAAGTTGATCTATTTTTCTGCTCACTGTTTAAGAGGCAGACTGCCTTGAATTGTCGGGAAAAAATGCATGCCATGCACAGACTGCACAGGTTCCCTACAAACCTTCCACTCTGGCATGCCTGCATGTCACGCATATTGTAAAAGGAATAAATGAAAGCATATACAAAGGAAGAAAAAGGTATTTGCTGTCTCACTTTCTTCTCAGCTAATTCAAAGTAACTGCAATTCTTCTCATTTTCAAAAGTGGATGCTTAGAAAAATTATTTTGTGTCAGTGCTCCTAACATGTATTAGAAACAGCATCAAAGGAATGACACTCAATACTGTAAATTAGGGCCACCAAACACAGCCACCCGAAAAGGAAGCAAATGGCGACACACTGAAGTATCTTTTCATAACAATCAGCCCACAACAGTAAACAACATTTCTTGTATCTTCTGTAAGGCTGTGGTACCTTCAGAATTAGCAGCAAGCCTGAAGCAACATCTTAGGAAGTGATAAACTCTCTTCTCAGAATT